TTAAAGAGTTTTAAAAACTCTGTGTTATATTTATATACATATAAATTTTGGTGGTGTTTATTAATAAATGCAGCCTGTTTCTTTTAAACAATTCTTAAAAATTATCATTTAAAAAATTTTAATTGAATTTTTGTGATTTTAATACAATATAATTTGATGATATTTAGATCCCTTCCCCTATCCGTAGCTCTCCTTATTGCCCCCAATCCAATTTAGAGTGCTCTATTATATATACATATATATAATATATGTATAGATAATAAAGCCTATAGAGTCCAATTTGTGTCCTTTAGTATGAGTCCATCCACTAGACCTGGTTAACATACCGAGAGTTCCATGCTTGAAAGACACTGTCTCCATCCCTCTTTTTATGTATATGATTATTTTGCATGCATGTGTGTATGTGAACTACGTGCATGAAATGCCCATGGAGGTCAGAAGAGGGTATCGGATCCCCCAAAACAGAAGTTATAAACAGGTGTTAGCTGCCATGGGGGTGCTGGGAACTGAACCTGGGTCCTCCACAAAAGCAGCCAAAGTTCTTAAAGTCTGAGCCAGCTCTCATGCCCCAGCCCATTTCTAATTTGAATAAACAAATGGTTTTCAAGGGCTTGACTGAATACAAAGGCTTATATAAACTTACCTGCTCGTGAGCTTTTAACTTCTCTGTCAAAAGATCAGCATTTCTTTTCAGTTGTTCATTTTCATCTGTGTAAAAATAATCAAAGAATATTTTTGATTAGGGTTTTAACATAGGGTTTTAAAATTACTAAGGGAATGTATAACAATCAAGTTTCTATTCATGTATGTGTCAATAAACATGCATACAGCACTGTAGACACTGAGATTGTAGAAACAAATTTATTGGTCCTCACAGAACTCACAGTCCAGTGATGAGACAGCTGTGTAAGTGGCTATATGACAATTGCTCTGCAATGGCAGTGTGTAGGGAACACTGTGAGAAGCCTCAGTCAGCCCAAAACTAGGTAAAGTTCTGGAGAAGTGGACTCTCCTCTGAGCTGAGATTTTAGTGGCAAGAATTGTTTTATATCAGGGCATGGCATTTCAGAGAGAACATGGTACAGAAGAGAATGGGCTTGAGTGAAGCCATTTCAGAATCTGGCTCATGAGCATAAATCCCACACTTGGGAGGCTAATGCAGAAGGATTGCTTCAAGTTCCAGGCTAGCCTGGCTACAGAGTAAGATCTTGTCTTAAAAAGTCCAAGGTGAATATATATATCCTGGCAATAGGGCTCAGTGGAAAAAGCACTTGCTGCTAAGCCTGATTACCTGAGTATGATTCCTGAGACATGGTAGAAGAGAACTGAATCTTATAAGTAGTCCTCTGAACTACACACATGCACACACACACACACACACACACACACACACACACACACTTTTCAGAATAGAAAAAGTTAAAGTGTAAAGAAAAGGTACTATATGAATTCAAATTATATTACCTAGCAGGACATATTCTATATAAATGACTTTGAATTTTTTATGTTACAGGGAATAGTCAAAGAATACTGAAATGTAAAGTCATGAAATAATTAGAGTTGCATGCCAAGGCATGGCCACTGAACTCTTGAATTCACAATATTTTTGACTACCTGCACACTACTACACAAGATTGGGCCTATCAATGTCATGGAGTGGGGAGGGGTTCAGGAGGCTTTCCAGCTCCCAGAGTATCTATAGGCAATGAATGGTCACTGCAGGAGAGGGAGACATTTTGTTCAATGGTATGCCCACTGGTAAGGTGCATATACTCCTGCATATAACCCCTCTGTCATGCTCCTGTAACCAGTCCTAACGTAATTCACTGGGTCATCAGAACAAAGAACAACACACCCCCAATAACAACAGAAACAAATCCAAACAGTAAAGAAGAGGGACTAGTTGAGGAAAGAAAGATCTGGGGGAGTGAGAAGGGACAAATGAGGGTAATGAGGGTTAAATATGATTAAAATACACTATATAGGGGGTTGGAGACATGGCACAGTGGTTAAGAGCACTGACTGCTCTTGAAGAGGACCTGGGTTCAGTCCTCAGCACCCACATGGTGGTTAACAACAGTTTGTAACTCCAGTTCTAAGGGATCCAATGCCCTCTTCTGACCTCTGTGGGCATTGCACAACACAAGTGTACTTACATACATGCAGGCAATACATTTATACACATAAAATAAAAAAATAAAATATTAAAAAATACACTACAGACAAGATTACAAATGTCATGATGAAGTCATTAGTATATATAAGTAATATATGCTAAAATTAACATATGCTAATATATGCATAAAAAGATTATCTGACCATGTGGAGAATGAATGAGAAGGCTTTGACTCTAGAAGCAAGTAGATTAGTAAGGATAGATCAAGAAAGCAAAAAACAGGAAAGCAGTGGAGGTAAAAGGAAAAAGCAGGGGCTATGAGAACTATTCAGAAGGCAGAGTCACTAGGGAAGTGAATGACTGAGGAAGTTAGGAGGAGGAGACAGAAGGGAGAGAAAGAGCCTTTGCCCGTTAGCTTCCAGGTTTGGGCAACTGAACATGGTATCTTAATGCTTTCGGGACATATTTTAAACACTCTATAGTAAATTTTGATTGGTAAACAAAAAGTTTCCATGACTACTAATTAGCTAGCTCTGTGGCTGGAAGGGTTCAGTGGAAGTGAAAAAAGTCTATTCTTCAACTGCTTTTCCCTGTCTTCTTTTTGGCATTTAAGGACAAGGAATGGTGAGAGGCAAATATGCCTATTTGACTTCTGAGGATCCAGTCCTATAGGCATTGTGGCAAATCAAATGGAGAGTCTGGACTCACTCCAACTTTAATTAAAAAAATTAATAACTACATGATTAGAAGAAGCATTTCATTACAGTTTTAACATATTCAGTAACACACTCCAGAGCAAGAATACATCTGTTTCACAAGTGGCTGTAAGTTTCTAGGTTCACAGATGAATTAATACAGTTATACAATATTGAACTCAGTAAAAGCCCTGTAAGACATAAAATTGAATGAGCTTTTAACCTTTAAAAAAGATCTCCATTTCATTTTAGAATATATTGTTCCTTGCAGAAAGACTCACTGTTTTTTCTACTAACACTGAGATTTTGGCGCATGCATCTCTGGCACATGCATCTCTAATCTGTATGTATCTGATTATTACTAGTCATAATTGGTTGCACTTGGATCCTTGGCACCTGTGTATGTCTATAAAGTCATCGGGTAGATTTCAATGGTAATGTTTATCACCTCTACTAATTAACATGATGTAAATTTCCATGCTTCTGCCTCAAATATAATATATTTTTAAAAATTTGATTTGTGTGTGTGTGTGTGTGTGTGTGTATAACACAGACCATCCCAAACCATCTTATTCAACTATATGCCCACTTCTCAGATGGCACCCTCCCATAGCCTCCCTCCCCCACTAGAGCCCTTATACTCTAATATCCCTGCTACTGTCTGCTGTATTGTCGGCACCCCCAGCCATTCCCCACTACTTCTCCATCTGGTGAATCTAGTCAGCCTATCTAGAGGTCTTTGTTTTAGGAAGGTCAGCTGTTCCTCAGCTAGCAGCAATCAGTTGTCAATATTCCTTTAGATAAGATTGGGGTCTGCTGTTCATTTTCCCAGTTCTGCTCCCAACTTTTTTTTTTTTTAATTTTTTAAATTTTTTGGTCTTTTTGAGACAGGGTCTCCCTATAGCCCCAGAAGTCCTGGAACTCACTATGTAGACCAGGCTGGCCTTGAATTCAGAGATCTGCTTGCCTCTGCCTCCCGAGTGCTGGGATTAAAGGCGTGCACCACCACGCCTGACTCCAACTTTATTTTTTAAAGCAGCTATCTTTGGGAATATGGGAACATGTAGCTTTGTTGCTAATTCTAGGCTGGGTCCTACTAATCAATTCCTGGTTAACCACCTATCATTATGCAACATCCTATTATACATTTCTCCTCTGTAACCTCAGCTACAAATACAGTCAAGAGCTTGTTAAAAAAACAAAACAAAACAAAACAAAACAAAACAGTGAGGACCAGTGAGATGGCTCAGCAGGGAAAGGCACTTACTGATAACCCTGCTGACTTGAATTCGATCCCTAGGACTCACATGGTGGAAGAAGAGAACCAACTCCCACAAGTTATCCTCTGACTTCCACATGTACACCATGACATGGGTACACATGGACACACAGGTGCATGTACACACACACAATGAATGTAATAAAAAATTTAAAAACAAGAATAACAAATTATTAAGGTCTTTGAGCATCATTTGATAAATTCAGGAAGATTTGTTTTTTTTTTATACTAATGTTGAGAGGACTTGGAAATAAAATCTCTTATGGAATATTAAACCATATTAAACCATAGCACTAAAATTAAAGTAAAAGTCTAACATAAAAGCTAGGCATGCTGGCACATGCTTTTAATTCCAGCACTTGGGAAGCTGAGACAGGAGACTTGAGAGTTCAAGGCCAGCCTGGGCTGCACAGTGAGACCCTGTCACAAAACAAAACAAAACAAAACAAAACTCTAAAATCAATTAGTTTTCAAAGTTCACTATCAGACACAGAAATCAAATGTTATCTCTTAAAGGATCACATTATTAATTAATTAATTAATTTATTTATTTATTTATTTTGGGTGCATGTGCATGTACATGTGCAAGTGCACATATGGAAACCAAAGGAAAAGTTTTCGGGGGTCAGTTCCCATCTTCCACCTTGTTTTGAGACAGATCTCCCTTGCTGTTTCTGTTGCTATGCTGCATACGGCAGGCTAGCTGGTTTGTGAATTTCTAGCTGGTTCTTCTGTCTCTGCCTCCCATCTTGTCATAGAATGCTGAGATTACAGATGCACATCACTGAATCTGGCATTTTATCTGGGTTCTGGAGATTGAACTCAGGTTGCCAGGCTGTGTGGCAAGTGCTTCTTACCCCCTACCCTCAGAGGGTTCCCAGTCTGCGGAGGTCCTAGACGGAGGACGCATCAGATAGCAAACCAATAAGAACAGATATCACACATGGTTTTAGCCAAAACTCGGAGCAACCATGTGGTAAGTGCTTTTATCCACTGAGCCATCCCTTCAGCCCAAGGATTAAACAAAGCCTGGCAACCTGAGTTCAAATGAAAAAAATATAAAAAATATGAAGATATTTTCAACAAAACAAAATACCGTATGCTTTGATTAACAAAACCCACAGATGTTTTTTGTTTTTCCCCTCTATTGTATAGGATTCTTAAGCTATGGAGATACGATAAATTTTCAAGTTGAAATATACACTATTAACAGAATTCTAGAATTTAAAGAGTACAGTTTTTAGAAGATTTCAATCTCTCTAACAGCTATTGGGCTTTCTTTCCTTTATCATTCAGTTTTGTATGTTTATTGTCTAGCAATTACTTTATGGTGATAAAATGTACACACCAAATTTACCACGTCAGCCATTCAAAATGTACAGTTGAGTAGCTGTAAGCATAATATTGTTGTGCAATCATCTTTACTTCCCTCCCAGAAATTTTTAGCATCTTCCTGCTGTATGTACTCTGTGTCCACCAAACAATAATTTCCCCTCTCCTTTTTCTAGCCCCTGGTGACCACAGTTGCTTTCTGTCTCTATAAATTTGACTATTCCAGATGCCAAATATAAGTGAATCATATCTGTCCTTTGCTGGTTCATTTCACTTGGCATAATGTTTCCAAGTTAAATTCATGTTGTAGCATGCATTGGAATTTCATTACACTTAAGGCTGAACAACATTTCAGCATATACATATACACATATATATTCCTAATTTATTATTTATGTATATTTAGATTTACTTTAATTTTTATTTATGTATGCATGTATGATCTGCATGTGTATTTGTACACATGTGTGCAGGTGCCCTTGGGGGTCAGAAGAAGGTATCAGATCCCCTAGAGCAGCAAGACTCTTACCCACTGAGCCATCACTCTAGCCCCTTATCCATTCACCCGTTGATGGACTTTGAAGGCCATATGTTACTCAGTTCTTGGTTATTGTAACAGACACTTATAAAGGGGGAAAAGCTCATTTGTGCTTACAGTCTTATAAGTTTCAGTTCAGGATTGACTGGACTACTGCTTTGAGCTTGTGGTAGAACATGATGGACATGCATGGCAAGGCAAAGTTTTTACCACATGAGGCCGATTGTGGTAAAGAGACAAGGGTTCCATAGTCTCTTAAAGGAAGTCCTCTCTGTGTTCTAACTTTCTCCCACTTCTTGATGGTTATGTCAATACTGAGTACCATTATGAGCTAGAGACCAAGTCTCTAATACCTGGATGCTTGGGGTATCTGAACTGCAGCCAGTTACTTCCATTTTTTTTTTTCTTCACTTCTGGAGACAGGGTTTCCCTGGAGCCACAGCTGGCCTCTCACCATATAGACCAGGCTGGCCTCAATGATCTCACAGAGATCCACCCGCCTTTGTCTCCTGAATGCTGAGTATAAAGGCATTTGTACTACCTTTTGGCATTTGTGAATAATACTTCTATGAATATTAGTGTACAAAAACTTATGAATCTCTTCTTTTTATCCTTTTTGTATATATCTAGGAGGGGAATTGCCAAGTCAAATGGAATTTTATATCTAATTTTCTTGAGTAACCACCAGTTTTTTATATCAGCTGCGTTATATTCCTGCTAGCAATGTACGTCACCTTGTGTTTTGAGACACTGTCTCTCCAGTGGCCTAGAGCTTGCCAAGTATGCTAGTTCAGCTGGCCACTGAGCCCCAGGGATCGGCCAGTCTCTACCTCCACAGCTCTGGAATTACAAGTGGTTCTACCACATATGGCTTTCTTTTGCTCTTTTTATTTTTTTAAAATGAGTTCTAAGGAGCAAATTCATGCAAGGACTTAATTGAGTGAACTATTTCCCCAGCCCCTCAAAACCATGCTTTTAAAAATGTTTTTCCCCAACTTACCTTTCAAATTATGTTGATACTGAATAGTTTGTTGTAGCCCTTTTATCATATTATGAAGAGAAGTGCATTCTAAAAAATAAAAAAATACATTTATTTGAAAATAATCTTGGAGTTCTCTCAGTTGAAGCAACAGAAACACCATTTAACTGAAAAATTTGAGATCTTAATAATAAAGCAATCAGACATCTCAAAGTAAACTACAATATATAAGTACTTGTGAATCATCTTTTCTGTGAAATGAATTCCAACATATAGTAGAGTTCTCTAAGGCACAGTACAGTAGAGATTGCCCCAGGTCCCTTAGCAATGCCTTCCCTCAAAGTGTCTCATACCTGGATGTGTCTGGGGAATAATGAAGGGAATTTCCACTCAACTCTTCCATGAAAGCATATTCTAAGAAATCAGAATCAAATTACACCAAGTGTTGTTCAAACATGGAGGGCCATAGCCCATGTAGGGCCATGCCTACAGAGTAGGCATCTGACGCTTCTCTTTGCACTCATAACACATCTTTGGGTAAAAAGATGACTATAAAAAGATTAAAAATCCAATGACAGCGATTTAAGGAATCAGCAATTTCTGTGCATGTGGCTTCAGACATAATGGTAAAACTTTTGTAAAAGCTAGGCCCTGACATAAACACTCACACTTCATTACCACTATCAACAGCCACCAAGCCTTGGACATGGAACAATAGTGGTGGGCTTTCTGAGCTGTTATCAGTGTGCTTGGACATGAGCTCCATAACACCAGAGACTATTTTACACTTTGTTCACCATTTCTCTTAGTTTTTACAATTGTGGCTTGCAGAAGGCAATCTGGAAATGTCTGTTGGGTGGCTGGGCTAGATAGGCAAGACTAAAGTGAGCCAGAGCAGGAGCTGGATTAGTGGTGAAGCTGTGGCCTGAAAAGAAGGCATATTTGTTGTCTGAACGAAAGTTTCAATATTGTGAAGGGAGGAAACAAAGTGTTTCAGGTTTTAATTAGAGGCTCTGCATTCAGCCTTTATGTCCTTTCTTCAATCATGCTGAGAAAGATTAAAGTGTTTTGCAAAACGTTAAAAGCCTGAGGATATAAATTCACTTTGGTGGCCTTTCACTCTCTTGCTCTTCTGTTCCCACTACCTGCTCACACAAAATGTTCCAGTGTGTTCTCCTTTCTCCCAGTAATAGAATGATGGGAAATTTGTTTGGTAGGTATTAGCTGATAACCTGCTTAATATATGCTACTGTGCCACTTACAATAAAGAGATGTTCTCCATCATTACTTATTTTTATGTCTTTTACTGTAATTAATATAGGAATTATTGAAATATGGTAGCCAAAGTTACCTTAATAATCAGCAAATTGAAATCATCCTGTAACCCTTAGCATATTGGATGTTTCAAAAAAGAAAGTATTCTAAAAATTTGAACACAAGATGGCAGGCTTGCCACAATTTTCCACAAAAGCAATTAGCTACATAAGGAATTCTGCATAAGACAGAATACCATTCAATGATTTAGAGAATAGCTTTTCATTTTCTTTGCAAACTTTAATCCACGTTACTTTTTCTACTATACTATGTAATTTGAAGAATAGTGTACTATTAAAATTTTCTTGACTATTAAGCTATTTCTTACATAATTTAGTACATAATTGACACATTTTTAAATCTCAAATTTAGCATCTAATATTAACTAGCAATGCATATTAATAAGTATTTCATACAGTAGTTTGAAATATTAAGATATTAAGTGCTTTTAAAGCATTGTTACAGCTTGGACCTGAAAAGTCTCCCAGAGGCTCCTGGGTTGAATGTTTGGTCCTCAGCCATGGAGCTACTCTTTAAGAAGAGGAGTCTGGCAAGATATCAGGGTTACAGGGCTTTCCTTCAAAGGAGGCTGTGGGACCTTTCACATCTAGGCATGAGGCTTCTATGCCTTCTCTGCCTTGTGTATGCCATCATGTGCTGTGACAGGGCCATAGCAATGTGGGCAAATGGTCATGGACTGAAATCCCACAAACTGTAAATCCAAATGGACTTTTCTTCTTTTTAGGTTGATTTAGCTCAGGTATCTGTTACAGGCATGGAGAAATGACTAACACAATATAGAAAAGCTTCTGCCAGTATTTAGTCCTCAGTGCTAATTCTACCATCGTGACTACTCTTACTATGTGATCCAAAACTTATGTTCTGGTATTTAGCTAAGTGAGTACAAACTTCTGCCCATACAAAAACCTGGTATAGGGAATTAGAGCAGCTGTATTCAAAACAGCTAAATTTGCATGAGACCAATGTGCCTTTTAATAGGAGAATGAATAAACTGTGGTACTTCCATAAAATATAATAAAATAATTTTGTTATTGAGCCATAAAAACATGAGGAACCTTAAGTACAAAGTCAAAGAAGCAGTGTGAAGAGGCTGTATGTCATGATTCCAACTACCTGACATTTTGGAAAATGCAAAACTATGCATAGTAAAAGGATCAGTGACTTAGGGGCTTAGAAGGGTGATTGGAAGGAGGGATGAATAGGAGAGCACTGAGGATTTTTAGGGCAGTGAAGCTATATCTGATGTGATGCTGTAATAGTGTAATAGTTTCATTATGTATTTATCAAAATGCAGAAAATGAATGACACAAAAAGCAAGCACTAAGCTCTAGATTTTAGTTAATAATAATCTATTAATATTACTTCAAGAGTTGTAACAAATGTACCAAACAAATGCAAAACATTGCTGACAGGGAAATTGGAAGTGTCAGAGATATATAGGAATTTTATGCACTTCCATTTTTTCTATAAATTAAAAACTGTCCCCTAAATGTCTATTCATTAACAAATTCAAAATAAAATAATATCTTTTATGATTTTGACATATGGTACCACACACTTAGAAAAGCTTTTCTATCATAAATACAATTTTTTAGTTTTTTGTGGTTTCATCTTTGATAGTCAATAAAATTTTAGATGTACAGAAAAACTGCAAAGATATTACTGATAGTTAACACATATATCCTATAACAAGTTACCTCTATTATTATTATTACTATTATTATTATTTGATACAGGATCTTCTTGGATCAGCAGCTGGCTTGGAACTCCCTATGTAGACCAGGTTGGCCTTGATGTCAGAGATCTGCCAGTCTGCTTTCTAAGAGCTGGGATTAAGGCATATGTCATCATGCCCAGTTTTACCTCTATTACTATCACCTTACATTAGTAGGCTGTATTTGTTACAACCAATGAACTAATGTACTGACATATTATTATTAGCTAAAACTCACACTTCATTCAGATTTGCTTAGTCTTTATTGCTTTTGTTTTAGGAGCTTACCTACCATTCCACTTCTTACTTATTTGCCATGTTTCCTTAGGCTTCTCTGCTATAATAGTTCTTGGCTTCCTTAGTTTTATGACCTTGACAGTTTTGTAAAATATTAAATATTTTGTCATGTCCTTCTGTGGTCATTTGTGTGATGATGTTCATCTCATGATGAGTCTCGGGTTGTAGCAATGGGGAGGAAACTTACTAAGTAAAATCATTTTCATGTATTATATCAAAGGTATGCATTATTAACAATGTATCACTTTTGATTACTAACATTGATCATGTGGCTTTTTGCTGTTGACACCGGGTAGGGTTTGTCAGGTTTTGAGGTTTCAGCACTGTGTAGACATACCCCACTCTTGCTATGCTGTGTACTTTCCTACAGAAAAGGAAATTACTCTGCTCACACTAAATCAGTGTGGATGAGGTCCACCTACTTGAGAACAAATTATCTACTTAAAGATGTTTGGAATTCTGGCACTTAGAAGATCTGTTTCCTCTTTAATATTTATTTATTTATAAAAGTAGATTTACGGCTATTTACTTTGCACTTTGGGGTATAATTCAACACTATTTTATTTCTCAAATAATTCCAGTTTAGTCATTGAGAGCTCTTTCAGCTGGCTTCCAAGTATTTTTTGACATGTACTATCATAACGGGTTTACTTTCTCTTTCCTTTTTTTGACTTTCAGAGATTAGAGAGGGTCTCTCTAGGTATCCTTAGTTGGACTTGAATTCATGACCCTTCTGCACCAGTCTCCTGTGTGCCAGGATTACAGGCATGTGCTATCACGCTTGGCTATTTTTTCTGATTGTTATCTTTTGGAATCTCAGGACACTTCAAGCTTATACTATAAACTTAACCCTAATCCTACAATCACCCAATTCTTTTTATTAAGAAAGGTATTAGAAGGCAAGATCTGTGAACTGAATAGTTGCTCTTGGGCCCAGTCATTAGACACAGCAAGAAAACATATGTGTCTAGTTTAAAAAGTATTGTCAGGCATGATGGTGAACACCATTAGTGCCACCAGAGGGAGGCAGAGACAGGCAGATCTCTGTGAAATTGAGGCCGACCTGGTCTACACAGTGAGTTCCAGGCTGGCTGGGGCTACAAGGAGACCCTGTCTTAAAAAAAAAAAAAAAAGAAAGAAAGAAAGAAAGAAAGAAAGAAAGAAAGAAAAAGTTATTATATTTTACTTATTTTGTTTAAGAGTGTGTGTGTGTGTATGCATGTGTCCGTATGTCTGTGACAGATGGAAGTCAGGGGACTTTAGGGAGTGGCTCTCTTATTATACCATATGGGTCCTGGAGACCTAACTCAGGTCATCAGGCTTGGTGGCAGGGCAGATATCTTTACCCACTGAGCTATCTTACTGGTCCATAGCTTTATTTTTAACACCAAAATTGTTGACCCATCTTATATTAATTTTTGTGTAATTATGAAGTAGGAATTCAGCTTTTTCCCTACATGATTTGATAGGCCTGTACTGAGCCTTCAATTTGCCATTTCTCACAAGTAGCCTCACGTAGATTATTGAACTTCTTCCGTTTTCTGTTTTTTTCACATATTTTAGAGGTATACTGAAAGAGAACACAATGAGATGACAGTCTGAAAAGTTTTATGTGCCCTTAAAATTCTTACAAATGCAGGGTATAATAGCAGACACTGGACTACTAAAATGCATTTTCATTAGAATGAGTATTTTTTTAGGCAGCAAAGAACTAACCTTCTTTAACTGAGGCCTCTTTTGTTTGCATTACTTTTAATAAACTATTAGCTTTTTCCAATTGAATATTCAGGAGATTGTTCTTTCCATTGGTTTCTATCATTTTCTACAGAAGAAAGTATATATTATTACAAAATCAAAACCTCTGTTTCATTCTTTTGCTAAGAATATGAAGACTAAGGAAACACAAACCATTTAATATATGAAAGTCTAAGAGTTGAATCAGTAATATAAGTTTAAATAAGCCAACTTCCATATTTTTAACAGTAGCATGGTAGGACTGAGGAGGCAGGTCAGTGATAGAGTACACATTCATGAGGCTCCCTAGGTTAGTTCTAGCAAAACACACACACACACACACACACATACACACACACACACACACACACACACACACACACACACACACGAGGGGTGAGGGGTGCATGGTGAATTATTAAAACAGACTAACCATTATGAGCAAGAAATAAAATGTGACCTAACTCGAGCCCCTTTCTTTCAATTACTCAAACTTCAGTCCCATAGCTAATCACAGGCATTTACCAAGCATAATGGTAGATGCTGCTAGTCTCAGCCACTCTGGAGGCTGATGCAGGAGGGTCTCTTGAGCCCAGTTTAGGTCCAGCCAGGGCACTATAGTGAAGCTTTGTCTCAAAAGCTCTAAAAACTTAAAACTCAAATCAACACAATACAAAAATGATTCCTTATACTTGTTTTCAAACTATTTTATTATCATATTTATTCTGTTCAACACTTAACTGCTCCACTCAGCACTGTTATTTGGGAGATTATGTCATAAATCACAGATCTACCTCTTTCTTTTTAACAGCTGCACTGGGTTTCAGTTTTGAATATGCTATTGTGGAAAATTTTGCTGTTTCTATTTTTCTACAACAGACCATAAATAAACATTGTGATATCTCTTTGTAAACAATATAAGTAGTTTCTTATTCTTAAAAATATTTTGTTATTTTTATTTTATGTGTATGAGTGTATTGCCTGCACGTGTGTAAGTGCACCCATGTTGTGCAATGTCCATGGAGGTCAGAAGAGGATGTTGGATCCCCTGGTACTGGAGCTATGGATGGCTGTTAGCCATCATGTGGGTGCTGGGCTTCAAACCCAGGTCCTCTGCAAGAGCAGTCAGTACTCTTAACCACTGAGCCATCTCTCCAGCCCCTTTTTCTTATCCTTTAAGTAGCTTCAAAAATCATCAATTCATGACCAGTCATGTGTTTTCTGTACCTCTATTTACTTCTCTAATTTTACAACATCTATTAAGCAACTGACATTATAGCACTTCATCTGTATTACCATTCATGTATCTCTAAGAGACAAGACTCCAAATATCAGAATACTATTATCAAATTAAAATTATTTTATTTAAAATGCTTAAGAATATATTTTCAAATTAACCTCCAAACATATTTTACTGATTCTTTTCTCAAACAATATTTCTTTTCTCTGTTGCTATGATACTCTCTGGGCTAAGAAAACCCAAGTGTTAGGCATATCAGAAGGAAAAGAGGATAGGAATAGGGGAAAATGCAACACATACTTATAACATATTATAAGTAATTATCATGGTAGGAGACTGAAATGTGAATCTACTTCTCATTACAACTATTTTTGAGTTTATGGGCATATGGACATCCTGGGCATTCAGGTATATATAGTCCCTTTAATTCTGGCAAAACTACATCAATTATTTGTTCCCTTGCCCTAGGAACATTTTGATATGTTAGTATGAGTCAAAATGAGAAAGGGCATTGTGGAAAAGGGGGTGGAAAGAATGTAAGAGCCAGAGGATATGGATGCGTACTGTGAAACAGTCTTTTGAACACGACTGGCTGTTGTATGGACGATTGCATAGCAGCTGTGGTTGTCTGCACAAGATCAACATTTCAGAATGGATGGGGGAGGACCTCAGGAGGCTCTATCTGTAGCTAAGGAGCTACTGCCAACTGATTACCTAGGGGAAGGGGAGCAATTTTTTTCCAGAATGTGGATGATGATGGTAGGTTGATCATGTTCTGGTGGATGGCTCCACATTCATACACATGCAGACAGTATTAGTTGGACTCAGTGGGTTATGAAAAGAAGCAAAGGAGGAGGAGGAGAAGGAGGAGGAGGAGAAGGAGGAGGAGGAAGAGGAGGAACTACTGTACTAGGAGGAGTTCGGAGGAATTCTAGTTGGATATGATCAGGATATATTGTATGTATGTATGTATGAAATTATCAAAGAATAAATAAAAATTACTCTAAAAATTCAGGTTTTAAAAACATGAGAAAGGGTTTAGCAAAATACATTTTTATTATTTGTATCTGGCTCATTTTTCTGATACATTTTTCTTCTCAATTTCTCCCACTGATAAGGTCTTCTCCATTTTCCCTAGTCATTTGCCATCTGATGTGTCTTCACATACCTTTTCTATCTGTGAGAAGTCATTTATAAGTTTGTCAAGATTCACATTGTTTGTCTTTTTCCTACTTCCTTCATCGCTGTGATCCATGTCTGAAATAATGAAGAGTAGGCAACATTAAGCATTACAACACTGGCCATAATTCAGACACTAAAGCTTCTGCACTGCATTCTACCTGCTTTAACTCCATTTCACTTGGGAGAATTTTTATTATACTCACTATGAGCAGTGGTCAAATGGATTAAATTTTCTTCAGTCCTTACCACTGCAGCCACATTTGCTTTAATCATGTCTAAAATTTGTATGGTTATATATGCATACATAGAAATTATTTGACCCTAATAGTTAATAAAATCTAATAATGCCACTGTCTAATATTCATCTCTTTGCTATCAGTCCAGCTGGACTTGAAATCTGAGTAGTATTAAATCAGAGGCATGACTCTTAAATGTATTTTCCATTTAAGATGCAAAACATTGTGTTATGCTGCAAATATTTTGTTAGTCTGCTTATGCTTCATATTTTGTTTGGTAACATGTTTATTAAATAAATCATGTATAGAAATTGATATACTCATGAAATATTTCTGTATTTCTATGCTTTTCCATTTTTTAAGATTAACTTTTAGCAAAAACTAGCTAACTGCTAAAATAAAAAGTTTCTGTTTAAGTCCTATGGAACCAATCATAAACAATGTTTCAGAGGGGCTAGAGAGATGACTCAGCTGCTCTTGCAGAGGACGTAGGTTCGATTCCCAGCACCTACATGGAGGCTAATAACCATCCATAACTCCAGTTCCCGGAGCTCCAAGACCTTCTTCTGACCTCTGTGGGCATTGCATGATATGGGTACAATTACATACACGCAGGCAATACCCTCATAAAATAAAAATAGTAAATAAAATATTTAAAAAGTGCTTCAGAGTCCCAAAGGTCTATTCACTCAGGATGAAGAACCTGACTTTTGCAAAGTAGCCAGCATTTAACTGTAGGAATGGGAAGGTATCTTAGTAGAATCAAGATTAATACAATATGCAAGTATAAAATATTTGACATTAGACTTTTCTCCAGCAAAAAGGATGGGGAAATACAAATTTGAAATACAGCTATTCCAGATTAGGCAAAAAAGCCAATGTATGGGATATGAACTAGTCCAAAGTAAAGGTTAAGTAAAATTCCTGAAGGAATTACTCAAAATAAATGTTTGGTGGGCCTATTGTTATTTAAAAGGAAATGCACCAAAACAGAGATGCCTGACAATAGCCATCAAGAAAGCCCACTTCCTTCTTTTTTACGTTCCTTGGCATGGTTTAAAAATTCGAATTTTGTTTGTGTACTTCATTTAGTGAAATAGTCTCAACTTTGTATCACATATTTGAGTAAAGTTGTATTTAAATTTCCTTAAATAAAATGATCCCTATGGTGGAAAAATAATTATAGCAGCCTCCCATGATAGAGTAAAATTCTTTGGAGAACAACAACAACAACAAAAATCACTATTTGATGTTGTTATTTAAACTACAGGACAATCTGAAGTATTTAAAAAGTCTCCCATGTCCAATTTTTGTTTTCCTTTTAGTCCTTCCTGTTTTAAATAAAAACCGATTTTTACCAGTTCTGTCTCATGTTCTGTCTCAGAACCAGGCTATGCATTTTAATTTACCCTGATTCTACCAAGTTTTTTATTTATTTATTTATTTATTTATTTATTTTTCCGGTCTTTTTGAGACAGGGTCTCCCTGTAGCCCCAGCTGGCCTGAATTCGCTACGGAGACCAGGCTGACCTTGAACTCAGAGATCCGCCTGCCTCTGCCTCTCAAGTGTTGGGATTAAAAGTGTGCGCCAGTATGCCCGGCTAACAATTGTTTCTTTAACAGAACTCATAGAACTTTTTCCCATTTGAAACCCTAACTAAAGGCTGGGCATGAAGCACAGTGGAAGCCTGGCAAATGCGGGGTACGTGGGGTGACGGGTGTCTGGGTACAAGTCCCCTCCACTGCACAAACAAAACTCAATAAAATTGCACTTATTACATGCTATCTCTTCGTTACCTTGGCCGAAACTGCAAATTATTTCCAAGTGTCTTAACTGCCCCCTCCCTCCAATTTCCCAGATCTGTATTCTTTCAACAGATGATGTCATCTTGCCTAGTTTAAAAAGGTGACAAGCCAGTGATTTAGCGCTTGTTAAACGCTTTAAGGATGAGACTGAGGACTCTCAAGGCTCAGCTTCCACCGTCTCCACAGGTTCCATTTCCTCTCCAGACTCAGCTTCTCCCGGACCCCACTCGGCTGGGCCCTGCCCAGTATGGCCCTCAGGAGGGGGCCTCCTTTCCCCTCCTTTCCTTCACGAAGCCACTGGGCCCAGAGCCTGTGGCCACTGCAGCCTCCATCTTCTCGGTGTCCTCGACAGGCAGGGATGGGGGTCGGGGACCGCGGGGGAGGAAGTGGACGGGAGAAAACTGTAGGGGTCCAGGACCCTGCGAGAGTGAGAGGAAAAGAATTCAGAGAAAACTGGGCTAATATTAGAATCTCCCCTCCGGAGCTAGGAACGCACCTGCGTTGGGCGTGCCTTCCAGTCTCCCGCTAGGCCCTCTGGGTTCCGGTTTGGTCAGCTCCTGACACTGTTCTCTTCCGGTAGGAAGCAGGTTCCGCCAACAGAGGGCCTGCCGCTCTCCGGGCCCATCAGTGCACACTTCTAAGGCTTCCGCCTCCAGCGGTCCCTACTGACTTGGTCGTAGCTCCCTTCAGCATCTGCTGTTTCTTAGGTGTTTTCTAGACCGTGGATCAACACCCAGGGACTGCCATCAATTACTGTTTTGTTAACTCACAATAAATCACTCTGTTTAGTTTGGTCTATGAGTCAGCACAATTATAAGCACAAAATAAATAAATAACCAATATTCGTTCTTGTGAATTATAAAGTAGGCCTTTTAAAGTACCGGCCAGAGTCAGTTAATAGAAAGTTTCTCATCTAACGTCCCCCCCCCCCTTTTAAATAAAAGATTTAGTTTTACTTTTAATTATGTGTATGTGTGTATGTGTGTGGGTATGTGCACATGAGTACAGGTATCCCCTGAAGCCAGAGGGTGATCCCCTAGAAGCTGGAGTTACTGGCCTTTGTGAGCTGCTCAGTGTGGTTGCTGAGAAATTGAGCTTGAGTCCTCTGCAAGAGCACACAATGTTTTTAACCTCCGAGCCATCTCTCCAGCCCTAGTGACCTGTTTTACTGGCTTAGTGATTAAGAACATGGACTCTTGTGTAGGTTTGAACTCAACACTTTATCTACTAATAGATAATCTTGGGCAAGTTTTAAATTTTACATCTCAGTTTTTCTATATGTACAGTATGATTACTAATAAGTTCTACCTCATAGGGTTATTGTGCCAATTAAATAAAATTATGCACTTTAATGATACTTAATTGAGTTCCTTACTTAAAGTAATCAAAAACTATAATTTTCAGTAACAGTTAAAAGTGTATCTACTGCCAAATTACCTTTTTAAAAAATATATTTTATTATTTTTTTATTTTATTTGTATGAGTGTAGTGCCTGCATCTGTGTAAGTGCACCTGTGCCATGCATTGCCCATGGATGTCAGAAGAGGACATTGGATTCTCATGGAACTGGAGTTATGGATGATTGTTAGCCGCCATGTGGTTGCTGAGAATTGAACCTGGGTTCTCTGCAAGAACAGCCAGTGCTCTTAATCACTGAGCCATCTCTCCAGCCACATGTTACCTTTTTGAACAAGAAGTGCCAAGATTTATTTTCATTAATTTGAGTTTTCTATAGAATTAAAAATATGTCAACCAGGAAAACGTAAACTGTATTGGGAACCTCTATATTTTCTTATTTGAAAGGCAGTGTGGTTTAGCATGAGAACTGGATTGAAGTGGAGAATGTGAACACTGTCTTCAGTGCTGCTCATAAGGTTTCCTTGGCATTAATAACAACACACAGGGACATTAAAAAGAAATGGCTACCTAAATTGCTGTTTTTTTTTTTAAATTAGACTAGTGTATATAAAATGTTCCATATGATAAATGCCACAATAGTTTTTGAAGCAAGTCCATTTCAAGACTCATCTAAAATGCTCCCTCTCCGTAAGTCATTTGCTGATATAAATTAGAAGTGACCCACCTTTCTTTACAGACCATGCCAGCCTCTTTGTGGCATTTCCAGGACCGTTTGAATTGATACAGTCTCTCTCCTACTTACTTGTCATTGTCTCCTTGAAGAAAGAAAGTCTATTTTCCTTAAACACATACATATTTTTCCACAGCATCTATCATAGGCAAACAAAACGGGAATTAACAATGCATGATAATGGGAACAGATCAACAAAGTTTGGCTTGAGTTTTCTAGTTTGGAGTAAATCAAATTTCTTTTTCAGTTTACAGATACTGCCCCCCCCCATTCAAACTCAAAAGATATCGGATGTGAACATCTCATGCTTTCATCTTTAAAAACGAATACCTTTCACAGTTGTACTTGGCTTCATTATTCAAACACCATCCTACTGAGAAATGAAATCAATTGAATATTTTTTTCAGAAAGTATTCATTTTATGATTGGTTATTAATTCATTAACTATTTATTTAGAAATGTTCTGGGAGACCATAAGGAGGAAATGAATTACATTGCTATGCTGTACAAAAAGTAAAATTGGAATTCATTGGCACACCCTGATTTGGAAAAGACATACATGTAGCAGATGAAAAATATCAGAAACTATATAGATTTATGTGTGTAAGGATCTTAAGGTTACAAACATCTTCACTTATTTATATAGCCTAAGATGTTTAAGTACTTGCGAGGACCCATCTACTGAAGGTCTAGGCATCAAGGAGAGCAAGACATGATATTTGGCTTCTGCCTTGGAGCTTCCAGTTAAGCAGAAACTGCCTCAGGATTGGAGCCCGGTATATGCAACTGGCAATGTTACTTTGGAATTAGAAGCTTACCTCAGTACTTAGTTATCTTTGTCAGTGTGCTATGACAGAGAAATATGACAGTGTTTCTCTCATGTCAAATGAGTTTTGAAAATTGCTCAACAAGTCCATTGGGACTTTGGCTCCACCCGATATC